CACTTCTCTTTTAATATAATAGATACATACAAGTTGAAGTTTACAACATATTGCAAATAGTCCGACTCACATATAAAACCGCCAGATTCGATCGTGTAAATAAATTTCTTTATTTTAGTGATTGGGATCCATACCGATCCAGATGTAATGAAAATAATTTCTCAGTAGTTCGACCACGACTATGAATCTATGATATCTTTATCACTTGATTATATTTTCCAATATATATCATTATACTGGATAGTAATGTCTTGAATCAGATGTTTTGAGACTTATGGAGTGAAACACATCATGTGGTTCTCGATTGAGACTGCTTACGAATTATTAAAAGGAAAAAAGAGAGCCATGCAGATTCAGAGGGAACAAACGTTGGCAATGATCGGACAGATCGGAATAGAGTCTAAACCCAACGAAGCCTAAGGCTAAATGGGTTCCACGTGGGGACACTACAATCATTAACGTCATCCATGACAGAACAAAACGCAATGGTTCTTGCCTTATTGGCCTCATCATTCTGTACCATATCAAACGCAATGGTTCAAGTTGGTTCTAATTTCACTACTAGATTGCAACCATACAGCTTGTTATGGACGGATTCTTTCGAGACATTTAATAGAAAGAAAATAGATATAAATTCCAAAGAAAACTAAAAATCATTGCATATGTGTTTAGTTTGCAACTTTTTAAAATGTTAACTCTAAAATGTAATGACATAAACTAATAAACATAACTAACTTACAATTCTCTTATTTTCATTAATACTTTATAACAGTCACAGCAAAACGACAACACAGATTGAGGTGTGGATGTAAACAGATCAATTACACAAAAACCTTTTTATCTTAAGAAACAAAATATCAGAAATTAACAAAATATTTAAATACAAAACAAAAGGATAATCAAGAAGTCGTGGGACTATTTATACATGGACCACAACCACGTCCATTACATATCATCACAAACTCTGTCGTCCTAAGAAAAAGAAAAAGAAAAAGACGATGGAAGAGTCGAGATCGTACAGAAGGGAGATGAAGCAGGCGAAGAAGAAGAAGAAAACGGGTCGTGGTTCAGGTTCTGGATGCGGGTCAATTCAAATGGAAATGAGAAGGCTCCGAGTTCTGATACCGGGTGGGCGAAGGTTGAACCAGCCGAATCTGCTTCTATCAAAGACTACTGATTACGTTATGCATTTGGAGTTGAGGATTAAGTTTCTCAAAGCCCTGTCCGATATGTGCTCGCTCTCTCAAAAATAATATTTTGTTTGTTAGTTACTTTTTCTTATTCGTCTTCATTCTTGTTATTCCAAAATTAATTTTATCTTTACAATTGTAGTTTATCAAAACTATTTACGTTGAAATTTGTTACTTTAGTTCATATGGAATTTTTTTTCCCATGAGTTAGGTGAAGTTTATTCTTTGGGCCTCAAGTAGTAAAGAATATCGCAGTTAGGCCCTTATAGCCCATAAATATGTCATATAGCTTTTCTAAAAAGTGGCGAAGACAGGCTTTTTCTTTATTTTACCAATTCCAAATTCCGATGTTCACAAACTCGATTTTTGTATAACCCATTTGTGGACATTACCATGTGAGTTAGTGGTTTCCCTCCATATCCAAAAAATACTTTCCACCACCACTAGGCACTACTAACTTTTTGTGTTGCTTCAGTTTATTTATACGAGTCCCTAGAATCTAGATATTCGAAAATAACTGACACAAAAATATAGTACTACTATCTTACTGTTTTAACTCTACTTTACTTTAGTTGATTATTTTCAGAAATTAATGGCAACGATGAACGATTATTACGGACTGTTCCCTTATTATTGATGACTTGATACCTACCATTAGAAAATAAATATGGTATTAGGCTTTTCTATAATCTTCGAAACTGCTAGGCACTAGATCCTTTGCATCCACACCAAAAAGTTTATTAATAAATTTAGAAAAAAACACAAAAAGGCAGGTGACCTAATAAGATCCCCTCTACTTCATAAATTAAGTGATTAGTCATTTAAAAATTAGGCCTATGTTTTAAACCAATGATGGTAGCTCTCTCTGGCTTGTGCCAAAATCTGTTCAGCCATCATTTCATATTCCAAAAATCCTGCAACGTTTTTGACTGTGAATAGAATAGAGACTTTTTTTTTTGTAGAGGTTTTATGATTAAAATCTGAGAGAGTAGCTTTAATAGTGTCTCTGTTCTTCTCCATCACTATGTCTCAAATGATTCATCAAATCTCACCTTCTCCTCCTCCTATCACCACACCTTCCGGTAATAACCAAATAAACCCACTCCTTCTCTTCACCATCATCCTCGTCTCCGTCGTCTTCTTCCTCTGCACCCTTCTACATTTAGTAACCAGACACTACTTAAAGAAGAAAAGATCAACAACCCTTCCTTCCTCAACGACACATTCCGACAACCAAAACTCACAACATTCCGATTCCGACACTTACAGAAGACAGCTCCGACAGCTGTTCCATCTCCACGACTCTGGTCTGGACCAAGCTCTGATCGACGCACTTCCTGTCTTTCTCTACAGAGACATCATCAAAAAAGGCTCTAAAGAGCCGTTTGATTGCGCCGTCTGTCTCTGCGAATTCTCCGAGGAGGATAAGCTCCGTTTGCTTCCTGTCTGCAGCCACGCTTTCCACATAGATTGTATCGACACGTGGCTTCTCTCGAACTCCACGTGTCCGCTTTGTAGAGGAGCTCTTCAGGATTTCGGTTTGGAGTTTTCCGGCGCCGGAGACGGTGGAGAGAGGGTTTCTCCGGGGGAGAAGCCGGCGGAGAGTGATGTCATGAGTGGGAAGAGAGTGTTCTCAGTGAGGCTTGGGAAGTTTAGAAGCGGTAATAATAGTAATGTGTGTGAAGGAGGAGGAGGAGGGGGAGAGACAAGTAGTCTTGATAACAGAAGATGTTTCTCAATGGGGTCTTATCAGTACATAGTGGCTGAATCTGATCTTGTTGTGGCTTTATGTCCTGATAAGGAAGGTTTGAAGAGTAATGTTGAAGGGAAGAAGATTAACATGAGGAGTAAAGGTGAGAGTTTTTCTGTGTCAAAGATTTGGCAGTGGTCTAATAAAAGATCAAAGTTTGGAAATCAAGGGGAGACCAATCTGGTGGGTTCTTCTTCCTATTATGATTGTTCTGCGTCTGGTAGGAGAGGTGTTGATGGTTTGTCATTGAATGGAAGGAGATTTCAGGGGCCATGATGAGATTAGAAAGGTAGGTGCAGATTAAAGGGTGGTAAATTTTCTGCCATTGATTTTGAGTTTCTTTTTGGAATTTATTATGTTAACACTATACTGTAGTGGTGGTCTTTTATTTCTCTGTAGCTGAATCTGTTTGTGTTTTGTTGAGGGCAATAAGCTTGTGCTTTGATTTATGTTATATGTGATGGTTCTAATAATCCCCTGTGCTAATCAAACTTTGTTCATACAGTCACAAATTTTTGGATATCTATTCGTTAGTTTGAACTTGAAGTAGATTAAGTCCCATGATTAAAGCTCCATGTTTTTAAGTTTAATGGTTTCATTATCTCAAAGTTTCCAAACATTGTTTTCTAGGGGTAAATATTTAAGAAATGAATTTCATTTATATATAAAAAGAAGAAGAGAAGTCAAATATCAGTTCTTTGGTAGGGTTTTAGTTTGAACTTGAAGTAGATTAAGTCCCATGATTAAAGCTCCATGTTTTTAAGTTTAATGGTTTCATTATCTAAGAGTTTCCAAATATTGTTTTCTAGGGGTAAATATTTAAGAAATGAATTTCATTTTTATATAAAAAGAAGAAGAGAAGTCAAATATCAGTTCTTTGGTGGGGTTTTAGACTTGTAGAAAATATCCAAAAATGGGATGAAATCATTATTGGTAGGGATAAATAATGATGACCCATAATTTGCTATTATGCTCCAAAAGAGCATTTGATTAAGAAGTAGGTAAAAAACTCTCACGTTGATCTTGGAATCCACCTTCATAATAATTTCGTCACGATGATCACCCAAGTCAGACATTGTCTTCAAAATCATGTCAAAGTAAGTCACATGAAATTCCACTATTTGATCAGTACCAACTGTACACATAACTGAACTAGCTTTACTTTGGTATTGTAGTTATCTAACTACATCACTATGATTCCCAAGTCGCAGATATTTTAAGCAATTTCTCTTAAAAGTTGAATAGATTTCAGATAAGAGAAATATTGTTGATCAAGACAAGTATCTAATTTAATTGCAAAACAAAGACATGAACAAAAATCCAAAACTTTTGTTTGCAATACTGAATTGTAGTTGGATAAACTCACAACCATAACATCAAATTTAGTATTGAAATAACACCAAATTCAATATTTTGGTGTTACATTTTATTTTACATCTCCAACCATACCAAATTCCACACTAAAACAATTTTGTATTATAAATTATAAATTTTAATAATCTAATACATCGGTTATTTGTAATTGACTAATTAAAGTTTAGCTTATTTATGTTTTATATGTTAAAATTTGGTAACTTTATGTCTATGTTATTTATTTTAAAATGTTAATTTTTCTTTCTTTTACTCAATGTATATATTAATCATTTATTTTATGAAAATATTTTGTTAAAATTTTTATTCCATCGACACATTGTAATTTCTTCAGCTCAAAACTTTATTCAATAAATCAAGTTGATTCAATTTTGTGTGTGTTCCTGGAAACCAATCAATTAAATGCTATATTCTTACTATGACCAAGCGAATACAATAAATCTATACATCAAAAATAAAATAATATATGTGATACCTTCAAATTTTAATTCGACAAGATTATGTGGTGGTTCACAAACTTACAAATAAAGAAGTTATTTAGTTTTTGATGCTAGCGCTGACAAATAAAGGCTTCTAAATTTAAAGTTGGAGCAAAGAAGCTGTGGCTTATAAAGGAAAAATAGGTCAGAAGTTGTGCATAAGTCCCTCACAAATTGGATTATATGCATTTTCATTCTTCTTGATGTCTTGTATGTATCCTACATGGGTGCATAATGTTAGAAAATATATTAAAATATGACAAGATATATAAACACTTTAAAATGATTCATTGTTTTGCATAAAAAACTTAATAGTTTACATCTTGTTATTCAATTAAACACCCAAGATAAGAATGATTCACTTATTTTCGCTAGAAAAAATTGAGCAACAATCTCTATATTTCATCCAGTTTGAAGTTCAATGATTATGACACGAACTTCCGTCTTTCCATAAAAAAATTTGGTTTTGAACAAACAACCGTAATACTTACAGGTCTAATTTCATTAAACCGTTTTCGATCAACTTGCAATTTTTCCTTCCAAATAAGGTGATTCATCCTCTAATACTTACAATAAAATCCAAAAATAAAATGCTCAACCTTGAATTTTAGCCAAATAAATATCCAAATAGCTCATCAAAAAATTAAATATTAAACTTTCTATATTTTTGATAATTCAATAATACTCGGTTAATCATGAGCTATGCGCTAGTTTTTTGTGTTAACCCTCTTAGTGCGTATATATTTTGTTTCATTTAAACGAAAATCTTATTCTTCTCTAGTAAGTAACAATGTCAGTGATAGTATGTAACATATTGCTATAATATGCAACATTAGATCATGAAATTGACTTTCTTACAAAAGATTATCTGAAACTCCCAAATAGGAAAAATGATTCAAACCTTATTATTCAATCCAAATAGAACATATTATTATAAGAAAAGATGAAAAAACTTATTATCATCTGTCAAATGTTCAAAAAAAATTACTTAGAACATGACAATAGTTTCAACATTCATTTCATTTTCAATATTCTATTTCTTCATTTTTCACATCATTTTCTCTCTTTCACTTAGTTTATTCAACATCTATTTCATTTTTAATTTATATAATAATTTGTTTTACAAAATTCAACACCCTACCGCACCATACCATTTTTAATTCATATTTTTATTAACTACATATGAATAATATTTTTGATTGTAATTAACTTAAGAACTAAAATAACATAAAATGAGAGTAAACTCTTGTTATAGATCATAAAAAATCATAAATGTTGATGTATTTTTCAAAAAAAAAAAATCTATTATAAAATAAATAAGTTTGAATTATGGGTGAAAATTAAAATAAGAAAAATATGTTCAATAATTTCTTCCAATTCAACTGCGCCACGTGACGAAACTGGCCCATATAAAAAAAATCCAGCTATTGAAAGTTTATAACGCATATTGATACTACATAGGTTTGTTTCAAATTTCAACAGCTTCATTGAAGAGGTTTAACAATTCAAAACAAGTTTCAACATTCCTATTGTAGCTGGTCTTACTAATCCCATGTAAAACCCATAATTCCTACCAAAATGATAATTGCTCATGCTTGTTTTCTTTTAAGTTAAAGCTTACTTCTAAGTTCTGACCCAAGACTTTGTCAAACCATCCGTAATACAACTAAAATGTTTACATGCCACATTAACAATCAAACAAAACTGATCAAGATTAGTGATCTGAAGTTGTTACTTTGTAAGGAAAAGCTGGCTAGTTGCATGTATGCGATCTCTCAAATTAGCTACAAGGGATACTTAGATGCTACTAAAGTGATGGAACCAGTCGAAACAAGTACATCTAGAAAAATAGAGAGAGAGAGAAAACAGAGGAAGAAGCCAGTACATTAGCAACTAAACGAGCCAGTAGTAAATCCAAAACTTTTGTGCAAGATGAATCTGTATCTGTAACTGGAGATACATCATGGATAATGAATCACATCTCTGTTAAAGTTTTATACACAACGAGACAAGCTTTGTTCTTCGGGTAAGACCTATCTCTTGTTTTTGACGAAGATGAAAATAAATACTCAAAAGTTACATGCCTCAAAAAGATACTTATAGTTTGGTGATAAGTTTATGATTTTAGCCCCAACTTGTCCATTTGGTTACTATGTTCCGTGTTAAATACAAACCACCATAGAGACTTCAAAAGATAATTCTATACAAAGAGAATAAACACTCCAATTCTAAATAAAAAACAAAAAAAGCAAACAGAAAAACAACAGGGAGGAGAAGGTAGAAGAAAACACCTTCCCCTAGCCTTCATATACACAACAACCCCCAAACCCCAAAATATTTCTATGTTGGTTTTGATTACTCACACTGACACACTTCTTCTTATCAAATGATGCTCTCAAACGCCACATGTGTATGTGAGGATGATGATGAGGATTCTTGTTCATACTCTGGCTTCAATCGGCTCGATGCAGCACCAAGTCCTTCTAAGAGCTTCAACACGTCAGAGACATCATCCAAGAAGTACTTAGCTTTGCTTGGTTTTCTCCCCACCGTGCAGGCAAAGATCTCTGGTCTCATTGGAAGGTCAGGGTTTGCCGCTGTGTTTAATATGCTCTCAAACATGTCCTCGTCTGATCTGTCATCTCCTATACACATCACCATGTCAGGTGAGTTCCCATTCTCCACCATTCGGTGTATGACTTTCTCCACTGCTAAGCCTTTACTTACTCCCTGCAATCAATAAGAAGAAGAAGAATAACAGATTAAATCACAAAAGAACTTACAAAGGAGTGAAATAGATCTCTCTTTATCTTACCTGTGGTTTAACTTCTACAATGTGTTGGCCTCTCTTGACGACCACAGGCTCGTTTGCAAGTACGCTCTCTAAATGATCAAGAAGCTCCTTCGCTTGACAAGATCCAAAGTCTGGATCAGCGTCTTGATGATGCCAAACCAAAGCACTCTCTTTAAACTCTATAGTGGAACCATCGGTTGCGTCCATGTAGGATCTCATTACTGGCTCTACCATTGTCTTCCACTCCGCTTCAGCTGATGAGTAACATGTCTCCCATTCCTTCTTGCTACTCCACCTTTAAATCCAAATGAGTCTTAGTATCTCCCACAATGTTCTAAAAATCGGTTTAGGCGCCAAATACAAATACAAACATTTTTTAATAAAATCAGCAAAAGAGCTTAAAAATCGGTCTAGCCATCCACCTAAACAATAGTTTCATATAAAACGCCTAACTAACGCCTAGCGATTTCTTGAATTTTTTTTACTTGAGAGAAATATTTTATGTTTAAAACTTTGAGCATTTATATATTACCTGATAAAGTATCCATGTTCAGCTGCTATTCCAAGGTTTTCACATGGAGATAGCCAGTCACTAAGAGACTCCCAGCCTCTACCACTAACAATAAACACAGTGTTTTTAGGATCCTCACACAGAGATTTCAGAACAGAGAGGACTTCAGGAGTAGGAGTTTTGATAACTGAGCTCTCAGGAACCAGAGTGCCATCATAGTCCAAAAAGATCGCTCTTCTCTCTGTCTTTCTATACGTGGATACAATATGGTCGATAGATAGCTTCCTAAAGCTCGGAGACAATGACAAAACTCTGAAACTCAAACCAAA